CTATCCCTGACTTGGCCTCAGAAGCAGCCGTAGGGTTGATGGCCATCAACCTATCCCAGATCATCTAAGACCCACTCAAGATAGTGGCCATACCCCGGATATGATTTTCTTGTCAGAGCACTGGCAACATGATATACCATATCATGATTATACATGATATGGTATTTCCCCTGCGATATGAGACTACGAACTGGTGGCTATAAGATTTTCCAGATGATGTCTGACAAGAGTGGGATGGGTAGTGCAACCATCCTTTTTCTCCTTGACCTCTCAATGGCTATGGAGGATGGGGCTGGGCAGCACAGTGTTGTGCTGGTTCAAGTCCCTCCTGCAAGGCTGGTCCCAAGCAGTTTTAATAGGGAGCGAGTGGCAGGCCCCATTTGAACCAGTATTGCACTGGTTCAAGTCCCTTCTCCAAGGCTGGGTCTCAAGTCCTATGGAGGCTGTGGCTGGGCAGAACAGTGTTGCACTGGTTCAAGTCCCTCCTCCAAGGCCGGTCCCAAGCAGTTTTAATAGGGAGCGAGTGGCAGGCTCCATTTGAACCAGTATTGCACTGGTTCAAGTCCCTTCTCCAAGGCCGGTCCCAAGCAGTTTTAATAGGGAGCAAGTGGCCCTGCCATATGGGACTACGCCCTGGTGGCTATAAGATTTTCCAGATGATGTCTGACGAGAGTGGGATGGGTAGTGCAACCATCCCTTTTCTCCTTGACCTCTCAATGGCTATGGAGGATGGGGCTGGGCAGCACAGTGCTGGGTCCCTTCTCCAAGGCTGGGTCCCAAGCAGTATTGGATGGGATCAAGAAGCAGGCCCTATTTCAATGCTTTACCCTCAACAACCAATGGACCCATTTGGGTTTGAAAAAGAGCTGAAGGTTTGGTTTGCCAGTGTCCCCCTCACCTTTCTAAGGAAGATGGAGGAAAAAGTCGTTATGGAAGAGAAACTGCATTGTTTGCACTTGTGGATGATCTCTGGCAAGTGGCAGGCTTCATTTGAATTGTTCATCCTTAGCGATTAATGGGCCTACTCGGGTTTCAGAAGGAGTTGGGGGGATATCCTGCGGGTTCTACTGCACAGACCTGTGGATGTCATGGCCGCAACTTGGAATCAGAACGTAGCTGAGGCCTTGGACAGATCACGCCTTTGTGCTCTATCAGTCCCAAAACTGCCCATGGTTTATGGAGGAGGCAAGGGTTCTGAAAAGTACCAAAACGCAAAACGGTTCTGGAAGAAAACCAAGAATGAATCTGACTGGACATGTGTTAGACCTGCCTTATGGCAGGTATGAGTGGCAAAAGTCAGTGTTTCTCCAGTCTAACTGCATCTCCAATGTTGTCTGATGGGCCTTTTCAGGGTTACCAATTCCTCCTTGGGAAAGATGGCTGGGGCAAGCATTTAAAGGCCATGTAGTAGAATTTGTTAAACACATGATGGATATAATTGCTTGCGTCCATTCTCAGTTTGAGTCCACACATACAGCAGGTCCATTGGAGAGACCTGGGGAATGGATTTGCCAGATTATCTGGGAGCAGTTTGACTCTGTTAGACCTGAGAAAGTAAACAAGATCCATGGGGGCTATTAAGGCAACTATCTGCTTATTAGATCCCTGTCCCTCCTGCTTGCCCCCCCTCACTATTTTGGGAATATGGTGGAAAAAGGAAACTAGGACTCTAGAGGGTCCTGGTTGAAATGAATGATCTGGACCCCTTTCTGTAGGTTTGAGGGCAGGTTATAGGAGAGAAATAGCATTGTGCATCCTTATGGATGATCTCTGGCAAGAGTGGGATGGGGTAATGCAACCATCCTTCTTCTTCTTGACCTCTCAGTGGCTACCAGGGATGGGGCTGGCAGCACAGTGTTGCACTGGTTCAGCTCCTCTCCTAATCAGGCTGGTCCTAATTGGTTTTAATAAGGAGCAAGACTCTATTTGAATGGTCCACGTTTGGCAACTAATGGACCTACTCGGGTTTCAAAAGGAGCTGGGTGGCATATCCTGGAGATCTGATTTGTCCAGTGTCCACTTCACCTTTCTAGGGAAAATGGTGGAAAAAGGTTGTCTTGCAGCTTCAAAGGGTCCTGGTTGAAATGAATGATCTGGACCTCTTTGTGTAGGGTTTCAGGGCAGATTACGGAGAAAAATGGCATTGCTCGTGCTTATGGGTGATCTCTGGCAAGAGTGGGATGGGATAGTGCAACCATCCATGTTCTCCTTGACCTCTAAGTAGCTGGGAGGGGGCTATGCTAGGCAGCACAGTATTGTGTTGGCTCAACTTGCTTTTCCATGGCCGGTCCCAAGCAGTATTAATAGGGAGCGAGAGACAGGCCTTATTTAAATGGTCTGCTCTTGACAATTAATGGATCTATTCTGGTTTCAGAAGGAGCTGGTATCTCCCAGCTGGTCCTGGGGGGTTCTACTGCACAGCTCTGTGGAGGTCTTGGCCACCATTTGGAATCAGAAAGTGGCCAAGGCAGGATTGTGGACAGGATTGTGTCTATGTGCCCTCACATGGCCTATCAGTCCCAAAACTCCTCTTGGTTTATGCAGAAGCTGAGAGTTCTGAATAGGACCAAAAGGCAACTAGAGTGCTACTGGAGGAAAACTAAGAATGAAGCTTACCGGATATAGGTTAGAGCCACAATTAAGGACTACCTTGTGGCCATAAGAGCTGCAAAATGTCGCTATCATTTAAAGGGCCGTGCAGAGGAATTTGGTCCATGCCAGGGGAAGAGGCTTCCTACACATCCCATGTGCTAAGGAATTGAAGCAGAGAGTATCAAGGAGGTTTTTCTGCTGTGATCCAACTCTGTGCAACATTCTTCCACTGGAGGTGAGGCCTGCCCTCTCCATTTTGGCCTTCCAGAAAGGTATCAAAATTTGGTTTTGCTGGATGACCTGGGGCCCAGAGCATTCACTGCTGGTTTGTGGCTTGTGGGGAAGGAAAATCTTATCCCCATCCCATCCATTTCGAGGGAGGGAGGGAGGGAGGGAGGAAGGAAGGAAGGAGATAAACCAGGTTCACATAACCCTAAAACATAAGTTATGCTTTACCAGGTACAATGGCTAAATTCAGACAAACCAGATTAGCTGGTGATGTGAGAACCAGGTGATGTTATATCTGTGCTTTACAAAACAAGTTAACAGGTTCTCATTTGGCTTTCCTATGCTAGAGATTGTAAGAGTTGAATTAAAAAAATAATGCTCTTATTTTTCTGCTTCTGTGACATTCAAATATTAAGGTTTTTTTAAGGTGATTGTTTTTTCTGTTGGAGTGGGGGAAAAGCATTCAGAACAAACAAGTAGAACTTGAATATAATGCAGCAGTTTTGAAATATTGCTGTTCAAAAGCTCATGTTACTATTTTAGCAGCTATTGACATTTTCTTGAGCCAGAAGATAATTCAGCGTGAAGAGCATGATTTGAGCTACCTATAGAGAATCATTTTTATGAACTCTCAAGATAGGTTTCTTTATCATTTAGCTTCCTTTGTTTTTATAAAATAAAAGAAACTTATGAATAATAACAATTCAAAGTTGAAGGTAATACTAACTCAGTATGAAACTAGAAACATATACACACACCAAAACCAATCTTCCATCTGTATAAACACCACTGATCCAAAAAAATATTATATTTTGAAATTCCAATGTTTATTTATTATAAAGAATTCCAGTGTGATCTTAATTATTATCTCATTTTTATGGACTTTTAAGACACGTTCGTATTTTCAGTGTGGAAGTTTTATTTATACAATCTTGATCATATTCCCTTGCCATTATGTAAAGTAGATATCTTATTCAGGAAATATGATTAAGAGTCATATCTACAAAATAGATTTGATAAGATAAATCTATCCAAGATAGATCTGATATCTCCAAGGAAGATTTGAATGAATCATATAGTGGGCAAGTGGTTGTGTTAAGACTGGGGAGACACAGGACCAACCCTATTCTCGGCCCCTGACACTCAGTGGGTGATATTGGGGCAGCCGTACTCTTTCATTGTAACCTTCCCATCAAGAAATAACTAGAGGGGAGGGGAGGAGGGAAAGGAGAATAGTCTGAAAGCTGCCTTACTTTCCTGAATGTTCCCTTCTAATACACACACACACACACACACACACACACACACATACATATATATATATATACACACATACACACACACACACACACATTGTTGCTGTTGTACACACCTGACCGATAACGCTCATCTCGTGACCCTGAGGATCTGCGGCGATGGTATCGAGAGGAAGAGGATGGAGTTACTGGTGTTCGGCGTTCTTGTGGCAGTGCTTGATCCACTCCTGCATTTGCGGGAAAAAGAGGAAAAAATATCAGATTCTGTTGCATTATTTTTTAAAATTATGGTAACCATGGCACACAGTGAATGCAAATAAAAGTTTGACCTGCTCAAGAACTCTATGCTAGAGTTAATACAAAGCAAAGAAATTATTATAACATAGGATTTCATGACTTACTGTTCAAAATCAAAAGTGTGAACAAAACATGTACATTATTGTCATTAATTGTAGCACAAATATGCAAAATGCTATAGAATAACAACTCTGGACTATGTACTTTTGTGGATATTGTCATGTTAGGATTGTACAAATCAGAAATGAATAAAAAAATGTCTGGTAGAGTCAGAATGATAAAACAGCAGCATCAATTGTAGTAATTCTGCCTACCTTCCATTGATATATAATTATATATTTTATGAGCCAAGTAAACCAATGTTTGCTAATCATTTTTAATGTTGCAAAGTGAAAGTGCACTAACAGTTTTATATAAATAACCATAGTACAAGAAAAAGCAAACCAATTCAGATGCTTCCAGAAGTGAAACATCAACCAAAGTTTGAATTGTGCCTTTCCTGGGTTAAGGTTGAGCTCTAGATAGAAAAGGAGACTCCCTCACCCTTGCTATCTTCAGAATAAATGGAAGGAACTCTTTCTTTAAACAGAAGGATAAGAACAATTGCTCCTATGCTCCACCTAAGCAGAGAAAGGCAATTCTTCCTCCACTGAAGTAGTGGAGAACCTTTCTGTCTGTCACAATGAGAAATAAACGATCTTCCCTTCCACTTCTGCGACAGCAAAAGGGAACCAAGTGAGGATGAGCCCAGGTGCAGAGTTCTTGTGAACTACATCTGCTCTGCAGCTCTAGAGAGTCACCAGGCACTTCTGTTGATTTTATGCATCAAATCAAAATATACCCACTGAGCCTTTCCAAAACAAGGTTTTCCCAGCTCTTGAGCTCAGTGAACCCCATCTGCTATCTCCAGATGTTACTATCTTTTGAAGATGGATCCAAGTCTGTTTGACTGAAGGACAAAGAATACCGAGGTAGAGTTTTTAATATCCCATTTGGTACTATCTCCAAACAAAGAGCATTTAGGCTATGCAGCATGTTACACAAAAAACAAGCAAGTTAGGAGTTAGAACAAGAAACAACTCCGTGATGGATTATGTACTCCGTACTGTCCTGGCAAATGGTTAAAAATAAACACGAGCTAATTGAAATAATCAGTTCGGCAGCTCTTTCCAAAGAGCATCATGTGGTTGTGCTTGGAGCAGGCGACAGCTCTATTTTAGGTCTACAAATTAGATACTATGGTGATAAGAACCACAGGGGACAAAAAAGGCAACTCTGCTTATTTGAAAGTTAGATAGTTTATCTACCCTCCAACTTAGACACCAATGAAAAATTAAATATGATCATTAGAGTTCCCTTTCCTACCTATTGTATATTGCAGGACTTAAGCACAATATTTTTATTTGTCTTGCAATACTTTGTCCAGTTTTACAAGCCAATGGGAGAGTATGTTGTATAATACTAGAACACTATAATTCTCAGATAAGGCAAAGATGGCAAAGTATCAATTGATGTGGGCTGATAACCTTGAGCTGGAGGAGCTTTTGCATCCTAGCCACTGTGTTTCTTCTCTTTGTACAATTTCAGTTTCTATTTCCAACTGTGAAATCTTGGAGGCTGGTGTCAATACTACCAAAAAGAATTATTAGTCAGCTTTTTTATATGTTATGATATTCTTAGAACCTTATAAATCTGCAGCTATAGAGATTATCTAATTAATTCGCGAGTCTCAATTTTTATTCTCCTTGGAACTGGGTCTTCTTCTTGTGTCCTGTTCGTGCAATGGGCAAGTGCTAGTTCATTCATTTTTTCCAATGACATGAGCATATTTCTCTGGTAAGAAGCCTTAAATAGAAAATGTCTAATTCAATTTTCTACCTCCATTAAAGGTCAAAATAGGACCTTCTTCCCCTCTCTCCCATGTACGAGGGATATAAATATGATTTTATGGCTGGTTCCTAAGTTTTCTTCAAACAATAGAAGCCCAGCACAAGCTTTTATTAGGTATTCAGCAAGACTAGTCAGCTGCAATTTTTAAAAACAACCTTTTTTTTTTAAATATAGAACACAAAATATTAAGCCTCTGGTATCCAGATCCTTTTGCATAAGACACAAAACCCTCAAAAATTAAACTCTAAAAATTCAGCGAAGTGTTGTTATCAAGAGGAAGGTACCCTTCATAGAAACATCATCCACCTGTCTGGCACATATAATGCTGGAACGTAGTCAGATGAAATTGCTTTTTCCAGAATAAAATTTGTGCAAGTAATAATGCACAAGACAATCTGTAGATGTTATAGATTCATTGCTATTGCCTTGCATGGAGGATTAAATCTTGTAAAACCATGTACTGATATCCCTTGAAATCTCTTTTGATATGATTTCTAGGAATAACTCCACGATGCACACCCCATCTAGAAAAATGTTAATTATCACATTTCTCATTGAGAAGGTAACAGAATATAATTGGAAGCAGAATTAACTTGTCCTTTGTTTGGAAAATGCATGATGAAAATAAATATATAAAATCAATAAATTAATTGGTAGTGTAATGCATCCAATGTTCAATTACTTGAAAAGAATTCTCTTCTGAAGCCTTTTTTAATCTACAAAGAAGATGAAAGTGAACTAAAAAAGAGAAAAACTTCCATTATACATGGTAATGATCAGTAACTTGGATTTGATAGATTTAATGAAATTGGGAAATCATTGGCTCTAAATCTTGATAACTGAAGGTTATCTTTTAAATCTCTGACTGCTACTAAAAAATGACAGTAGACAAAATATTTTGCCTGTCTGTCCATATAAGTTGGCTTCATAGATGCATTTAGTTGGCCATTATATGACACAGAATACTGATAATGTGAGGACCAGAATATTTAAAGCCAAAGTTGGGACTATGCAAATATTTAAGAACTACTTGATTAAAAAGCCATCACTGTCAGGAGAAACTTGTTGATTTGTGAGAAAGGCCAGAAGAAAATGGAAGTTTAAATGAGAGTGGGTATAAGAAAACTGTCACTGGGAATAAGCAACCAACTGATTCAGCTGGGTTCATTCTTGCTTGCAATAAAGATTCTTTTCTAATTGATCTGTGTCTGTGAGCCTTATCCAAACTTAAGAGCCATATAAAATGAGAATATCTGCAATTTATTGCTGAATCCTTTAGAGGGAGCTAACAATTCCAGGACAAGAACTCTTATATCCTTACAATTTCTTTAGACCTCCTAATGCAGTGGTTCTCAACCTTTTTAATGCCACGACCCCAACCGGTCGTAAGTCGAGGACTAAACCGATCGTAAGTCGAGGACTAATAAGTTTAGGAGACTAAGAACTAGAATACATTTGGAAGGGATACCTGAAGGGATAATATGTTTATTTAAGTCACTAATTGATGGATTGTATATGTATAAGCTAGAATTATATTTTATTTTAAATAGGACAAATATTGAGTAGTGGATGAAGAAACAAGAGAGATGTGTGATAAAATTAAGCTTAGGAGACTAAGAACTAGAATACATTTGGAAAGGATACCTGAAGGGATAATATGTTTATTAATGCAATCAGATATTTTGGAGTCAACTGATTTCTGGGGTATCAACATATCTGAAAAGCTTCACATGAGGAAGGCTGACTTAGTGGCAGTCAAGGCAGACTGAACCAAGAATCTTCTAATCTAAATTGCTATGTCTTAGCCTCTAGTTTTGAGCTCTTCATCTTACATATAAGTAAGAAGTAATCAATAAGCAATCAACGTTTCCTCCCCAATGAATTCTGAGGAAAATTTGTTCCCTTGCCACTATCTGTGCTTTTGAGATGAAGGAAATGAACAATCAGCAACTACAACTATTACCTAGGACCAAACCCTGGAAAAATGGAATCAAGACTCAAAAACCTGCCCCCAATAAGACAAAGTCAGACAACAATCTTTATTTATTTCAGTATTTTAATACTGCCCCTCCCTTAATGGAATAAGAGTGCTTTAGTTTGAGGAAAGATACATCATTTTGATTCTTATGGAATTTGGAACCAATTTGCTTAGATTCAAGAATGGAGAACGGTAGCTACATAATATATATTTACATAATATATATTTACACCCATCTCTCCCAGCATCTTAATTCTTATACAATCAATTGGAAGAGACATCAGAGGTCATCTACTCTCTATTCCAACCACCTACTCAGTGCTTTACTCAATGCAACATCTCTTGAACATTTCCAGCCTCTGACCAAAGTCCTATAGAGACGGAGAATATATTATTGTAGAAGAGAGTGGAGATAGCCTTGAAGACATTATGCAACAGCTATTATAAAAACATCAGCTTAGCCCACAAAGGCAGGAGGGAGTAAGGAAAAACTCAATACTGTTGCTCTATGACTCTGCTCTACGAGAGTTGGAGAAACTCTAGTATGTTTTTGAGGTTCTGTTTATTCCTTCTAACACCTAACATAAATCTAGTTCCTTGTATTTTCAACCACTAGTTTTTGTTCTGCTCTCTGAACAATAGAGAGTAAGTCTACTCCCTTATCCATTTAATAATCCATAAGTATCTAAAAACTGCCTACTATCATGTCTTCCCTCAGTTCTTCACAGCTTAAACATCCCAGATCTTTTAAATGGTGGTTTCCAGATCCTGCCCTCTTCTTGATAGCCACTTCTGAATTTATTCCAGATTGTTGATGTCCTTTGCCTCTCCTTTTTCTATTAACAGCTTCCTGTTAGAATCTTTACTTAACTCTGCAATATGGAACAATAACATTCTTTTCCTAGTTAAGTTCATTTTAAATGTATGGATGTGTATGTTCTGCATGTAGTATTCAAATATAACTAACATACTATTTTTTTACTATAAATCATTCATACTTCCATCCCAATGAACTTATTGTGGTGGATGAGAATGGAATTGAAAGTTGTTTCTGCCTTTAAA